TGTCCAACCTGCGTTCCATGTGTTTCGCTGATTCCAAGCACCTCAAGGTTGTATTTTCTCATTTCTGCAGCAATTTGGAAGACTTCCGGTCTCCCACATTGTTCTGACATTCCATGTACCTATTAAAATTGTCGCTCTGGTTGTAAGAAGGTGCATCGGCCTCATGACTTCCGAAGGAACTCGGCATTCATCATGAGACGTCCTAATTATTCTTTCTACTGTCAGGGCGGAGTTTGAATGGTTTGAATGATTTTTTTCTGGTTAGCGTTTTTTTAAGCGAGTTGATTTTCTACGGGATGGGGTCACTAACCCCACGCCCAACCCTCCTCCTTTACCCGGGCTTGGGACCGGCATTAACCTCTAGATGAACTACAGGCGGATTTGAATGTAAATCATAGAGACTTCGAGAAACCATTCAACAAGTAATGCGTGAATTTGTCACTATAGAAAATGAACAATATAGTTATTACAGATAACAAGTCACAGTATATATATCAGGTACGAAATGCCGGTACAACTTCAATATATTCAAATTGGTTGAGCAATGATTTGCTGACAGTCCTCCACCTTCAAGCTTAAACTCATTAATTATGACTTCACTTTTGCGAGAAACATCTGCAGTGCTAACTTATTGTTTTCAAATATACCTTGCGTCCGAGGATTTACACTGGAGAAAAACCCAAACAATCACGCGACGAGTTTTTATCCTAGACCAAATTCACTGTGTGATTATCACCCTCATCAATACGTAGCATATTATGATGTTGAAACTTGCAACCTACAGTATGATATTTTAGACTTGGCCTGTATTTATTTGTCAAGGGACTTATGTGCACACACTAACAACGAGGCAAGTGCGTACTCAAGTTCCTCCCCGTTGTCGCAGCACAAGTGAGAAAAACAAAGAGATGGAACCTTAATTAATGTCTTGGCCATTTTTAATGGTAATACAACCGATATAACATATCCCTTTTATAAGAAATTTGATGTCGATATCTCTAATTCGCAACTATTCTCACCAGGTTATTCATCACAATAAATAGTAATAATTCTGAATAAACTTGCTTCAGTAACAACTGTGAACAGCCTATCCTCAGCACAACACAGCTACTCAAATTCATCACGATCGAGTGACTCTATCAATGAAACACAGAAGCCATCGATGGTTTTATTAGCCGTTCATTCGAAGCATTGTCACCATCATTTGACAGTAGAACACCTAATCTCTACATATCCTCACACTCTAACTCCAATGACCCAATTTCAAATTCAATGTTCTAGAATTTGACGGTTTCTCTAGCTTCAGTATTTTTTTCCAGTTGTCTCTTTCATAAGCATTGCGGCATCCGACTTTAATTTAGCAAAAAAACGCCGACTGGAATTTGAACTATGAAAAGTCGAGTTTTCATCATATTTATCAACATCAAACAAAATACGAACAAGCTAATGAATGCTGCCGTCTGAATGCATATCGACTTCTTACTTCTAGGTTCTGCAAAAATTTCTTGTGTAGTCACAAGGTTTCTTGTCGTACTTTCAAAACATATCCAAATCCACACAACCTGAAAACGTTCGAACATCTTCAAAAGTGAAAAGAAAAATCATATTGAAAATTTGTATCATATTTATAGTTGAGGTTCTGTGCGGTCGATTCAATGCTTACTTACTTACAGACTTACGCCTGCTACTCCCAATGGAGCGTATGCCGCCGACCAGCACTCTCCAACCCACTCTGTACTGGGCCTTCCTTTCTAGTTCTATCCAGTTTGTGTTCACACTTCTTTTGTCTGTCTCCATTTCTCGGCGTAATATGTTCTTTGGTCTTCGTCTTCTCCTTCGACCTTCAGGATTCCATGTGATGGCTTGCCATGTGACGCAGTTGGGTGATTTCCTCAAAGTGTGTCCTATCCACTTCCAGCGCGTCTTCCTGATTTCTTCCTCCGCTGTAATCTGGTTTGTTCTCTCCCACAGTGGAATGTTGGTGATAGTGTCTGGCCAAGGGATTCCAAGTATATTGAGTAGACAACTGTTAATAAACACCTATATCTTCTGGATGGTGGCCTTTGTAGTTCTTCAACTTTCTGCTCTATACAGTAGAATTGTCCTTATATTTGTTTAGAAAATTCTGATCTTCATGTTGGTTGACAACTGTTTTGAGTTCCGGACGTTCTTCAGTTTATAATATGCTGTCCTTATTTTCCCTATCCGCAACCTCACATCAGCATCAGATCCACCGTGTTCATCGATGATGCTGCCCGATATGTAAAAGTATTCACATCCTCGAAAGATTCTCAGTCGAATGCAAATTAACTAATGCATGCTGTATTGCATCTGAGAGTCTCGCTTTTCCGTCCGTTTATTTTGAGATCTACTGCTACCAGAGCTACTGCTCAACTGGTGGTCTTCTCCTGCATTTGTTGGTGCGTGTGTGATAGAATAGTTGGATCACGCGCAAAGCCTCAATCGTCCCGTCGCATCCTGGATTGATATAATAAGTTTTGATTAATACACAACTATCAACCAAAAGACAAGAAGAAAAACCTCCAGTTGCGAAATGGTCCGATGTCATGTACACATAATAAGTTTACCGAGCACATCTTTCTTACATTCTTGACCACGCGTATATAGCCTCTACCCGGAATGTCCTACTGTTGTTAAAGAAATTGAGAAGACGGAAATAGATTGTTCGGCGCTTTCACCAGGCTGGTGAATATGGAGAATCCAGCTATAGGAGTTAATAAGCTTCGATTCCAAACCGACTGTAGACATGTGGTTCAGGATCCTGACGTATAGAAATATCGTCGATCACTAGCTACCATGTCCAACTGTGTTCTAACGTTGCACTACTGTCTTGTGAAATGGATACTGTGAGTGTCGATATTCGTCTAAATTAAATTTGGCGTCCTATTCGTGAAACCGAAGAAAATTCGTGCGTTAAAACAGTGGTGATGGTGGTTAAAACGGGCGATTATATGATATAACACACACTTACAGCGATCACATTCAATTACGACGTGACGTCGTATGATAGTTTATTAGTTATAAAGTAGCATGGAAATAACACTCAATTAAAAAACAGGTTAGTTCGCGACTGAGTGTAATTTTGATGTGTTCTATTGATGTTGATAGATATAAATGGTATATAAAATCAATGCAAAATTGAATTCCTCGTAACAGAATGTTAATAAGATCAAAGAGAAGAGAAGGCGTACAGAGAGTGATTGGTGTGAAAAAGGAGGAACAATGAAGTCTGAAAAAATTGACTGACATATTGGAAATGCAGTATTTAGTGTATGGTCCTCAAGTTTTACCATGATATTTTGAAGTTTCCGCGTTTTTAAGAAAGTTAGTGTAAGCATGCTGCAGTTGAAGCATTGAGTGCGAGTTCAGGTGATCGTGACACCTATATCTACTGCACAATCGTTCAACACTGGTTTGATTATGGTTCGCATATTTGTTGTATAGATTACATTGCTTTGCATATTTTCATGGTGTCTACATTCTAAAGTGAGCTGATAAATTTATTGTTTTGTGAACGTGAAACCGATCGACATCATATAAACCAACGATGTCGGAGTTTCTTTAAATCACAAATATTACCAGGGGTAGACCAAACTACAATCAGTAAACATTCTAAAGGACTCAAAATTGCGTGCACTATGTTGAGATGAGATATAGTTTGGAAATAGTCGATAGAAGACCCTGAACCCAGGATTAGTGCTATTTGCACTCGTCAGCAAGATTTACCTGTAATCTGGAGAGATTTCATGCTCTCTGAGAGATTTAGTCTAATGTCACCCAGGAGATATCTGGGTGACGCCGTCACGCAGATACAATCTGATCTCATACTCGATATTCTTTTATCCAAAACATTTAAAATAACTCATATTTCAATACATATTTAAAGTGTTATCTGTCAAATCTTAATTTGAGAGCCGAAAAATACATGTTAGATAAGAGTTTACATGGAAAACGAAAGAAAGCCAATTACGAACAGTTCTTGTCTGAGTGTTATGAAAGTCAAAACAAGCATAAATTGAGAAAAAACCTGTATCGTGATAAACCATAGAACCGTCAGTCCGTAAATAGTTACTCATTATTTTGACAATCAACAAATGAACGAAGTGAAACTCAAAGGATTTATAAAAACGTCCAACATTTTATTTAGAATTAGGAATCAATTGAAATGGAATGACTCGAAACATCATTATTCCAGATGGGTTGATAGGAATTGTAAAGTTCTCTGTCAATCGCACGTCTTTGAATCTATCACCAGTGAATACATCCAGTAGTTCGAACTTATCTCCTGATATCGTATACATCTGTGATTTGAATTCATCAAGACTCGCGATAAAGTTTATAGGTCCTCCATCAACCCTTGTGTAGATGCAAGCGATCGCCCAACCACTTGGACAATTATTTAATTTTCGTATCCACAACTGTATGAAAAGAAATATGTGGACAGATGTAAAAAGCTTGTTATTATTCAGTACACTGGTGATTAAATAATCATATAACCGATATCTCATGACCTTGTTGATGAACAAGTAATGGAAGAGTTTGACTTCATAATTGGATGTTTTGTGTTGGACACCTCGGAATGTGAATAAAGAATTTCGACTAAAGGGTGACTCATTCAGTTAAGAGAAAACATTTGATGGATAGAACAGTGAAACTGTATCAGTGGTGGTTGAGTAAACTAACGGATTCGTGATCAAGTCAGCCGGTTGATTTGGAATACACACTGTCATATCTATGACACTAAAATTGAGTATTGCGTCCATAATGCTCATCCACATTTTTAATATTGTTATATTGAGAATATAAGAGCTTCATTATACTATGATGCTATTCTAACAACATAGAGAGACATATTATGTATTCAAATAAGTGATGAATCAGTGAAAGTTTCGTATCTCATTTCAAATATCTGAGCAAGATTTTTTGATCAAAAAAAAGAAATCTCAACAAGTATGTATAAGAATTACAATCTAATGCAATCAACTCACCTGTACATCATTTCGTGATTTGATGAATTCCGCCTGATGTCCACCTTCATCCTGATCTATCGCCAACAAATGTTTATTGCGTAACAGAGATGCACTGAATTGATCCACCTTGTCCATGTCGGTTGAGATGATTAATGGAGCAGCGAACATACACCACATACCCATATGAACTCGCTTTTGATCATTGGAAAGTCTGTTGTTTCCTAAGACCAACATGTCGGGATCGTTCCATTGTCCTGGACCAGCCAATTTCGGTAAAACATCGTTGCGAACTTTGTATCCATCTATAATACCCATTACAGATGCCCAAGAACTAAAGGAGTTGGGCAGAGAACGAATGAGATTGCAGTTGTTCTGTAGTCTCTTCCAGTCAATCGATTTAGGATTTGCATACCATGAACCATATAAAGGATATGTACACAAAAATATCATTGGTCTACCAGTTCCATTGAGTAGTCGTGAGAACTTTTCGAAACCATCAGGCATCATGTGATCAGGACTGTTACACGAGTCCATCTTCACGTAATCCACTTCCCATTCAGCCAGAGTCTTTGCGTCCAATTCGAGAAAGTCAAAACTACCTGGATAACCTGCACATGTTCCAGTTCCATAACTAATAGTTATTCCGAACAGTAGATTTTTCGAATGCAAATATTGTGCAAGGTTTTTCATACCCTGAAATTACAACACATCATGGAGATTACCAAACAGAATTTGTAAATATCAAGTATTTTGTTCACGAATACAGATCAAACGAAAATAATTATTGACTCACACATACACTAATATTCTTTCATATTGGAGGCCTTAGGAACAACAATCATATATATTGTCGTAGTGTGATATTACACAAAATGAATGAGAAAACTATGAACACTTTCCAAACACTACACACATAAACTCACGCTCGGAAATCTCGAAGAATCTGGCAATAGTGCAACCGTCTTCGTATCACGCAGTCTTGATATCCAACAATCATCTATTATCACATATTTGTAACCCAGATCTCGCCAACCATCGGATACCAATTTATCAGCTGCTCGCTTGATTGCATTTTCATTAAGACAGTTGTTTGGATAGTTCACGCAATCCACCTGACAGCCAACTGCCAGCCATGAATTCCACCCCATTGGTGGTGTTCTAGCCAATCCATTATTCAAACACATAACAGAATTCAGAGTGAGGAAGACTACTCCCGAAAATATCGTTAACAGAGTGAACATGTTAGCTGAATAGAAAAATTGATGAGTTATAATTAACACATGACTAAAGTGTAATTTGATTGGGCTGTATATTACGAAAAATCATTTTTTAAAAACATAATCAACACATTCACTTTATCAAACTGATGTTATTGCATATGCGAACTTTGCAGACACTTTACAATGTTAAAAATCCGAATCTCGAATTTATGTATGCGGAAACTACAGTAATCAGCAGTCATAATCTCGTCTCTCGTTCAACTTGCGACACTCCAATTAAGCACTTCTACAAATGGTTGAAACTTATACCTACGAACTATTCATTTCCTTAAAATTTCAGTGAGAATGTGACTTAAAAAATTTATAACACCTATGAAAGTAATGAATTCATTAAAAGCAAGCAACCGTGAATTGTCCAATACTCGCCACTTCAGGTTGAACTAGTTATTGAGTAATCGTAATTCAGTCATTCTGAGATTGCAGTTGTTTGGAAAGGTGTCTTAAATCGCACGTCTTCTTGACTGAACAGTCTGTTGTTTATTAAGTTAAGACACCGGAGATCATTCTACAAAAATCATTCCAAATCTTCACTCATCATGTCGAATATCGGTCTCAATAATGTCATCACAGTTGATATTACTTATGAAGCATTTGCATTTTCTGAACACAAATATAACTGCAGACAACAAACCACACTTGAAAATGAAACATTATCAAACCATTATGTTTATGTCATCACACAATTATAATTCGACACTTACACTTCGTTTGAATTACCCAGTTGACTGAATTAGGAATTAACTCGTATTTATACTCTAATGAATATGACCAGATTATAGAAAAGTACTAGAAACGACTGTGAAGGGGTTTTCTCAATCATTGACTGACCAGAAAGCCACTTTGAAAATACACATTTTGTTGAAGTCAAACAATCATATATGAAAGTGCACAGGGATCTCACAATAATACCGAAGCCACTCCACCCTCCATTGCGTTCTTCACTAAATACATAAAAACCAGTTCATAGACACATCGACTGTCCGTCTTCTGATAACCTTATGAGGACAGGAACGGAATATGATGGGTCTTACGATTAATCTTCATAATGGTCATTTGTTTGGGATTAATGGATTATGTACAATGTGTTGTGTGTTTTGTAGTGGGGATTATGATTTCAGATAAGTGGTGTTTAGTTGGTGTGTGTATGCGTGAAGGAGTGAATGTGTCTTTGAGAAACATTTATGGAGGACACTGATTTGCATGTTCTTCTCAATCTACATAAATGGTGTTGCACACTTTGTGTACTGAACACCATGACGTTGAATCAATGACGGTGTTCAACATAATTTGTTTAGCATTTGAGATTCATCGAGCATCATAGAAAGCCATATGAACTGGTCATTCTTAAACGACATAAGATTGAAATCGGTGAGGAAGATGTGTAGGCTCGATGGATGACTGTGATTGAGTTTACCGGTTTCGAGATAATGTGGTAAAGATGCCAAAGTTATTCGGAGGTTGACAACGCTATACACAGTAACACCTACTATTATTAATTGTACCCACCAACTGAAATCAAAAGACAGAAACGGGGAGATTCGATGATATATTCGGTTGTTTATTAACATATTGTGAATCGACTGATTTAATGTGACTAGCGATTGCAGGGATTGTTGGGTACGTCGTTACTACTCGTGACCTGGTGCGGATGAATGACCTAACGTTTTCAACTTCATGAGTCCATTAAAACTAATGTGATCAGCATCTAATATCGAACAATCACAGAGCCATTTATTTTGCGAATTTGTTTATCACTACAGTGGTTCAATCGTGAAACGTGTATTGTAATTTCACGGATCATCATCAGGGAAACGAATCATAAATTCTGTTGATACATTTTCGATGAAACAGAATTAGAGACCGAAGTGTATAGTAATATAAGTTGAATGAAACAACACTATGTTCAATGTTAATTTCCCATGCACATGGTCTGAGGAGTGCATTTTTGATCGGCCTATAGCACGATGAAAGTGACCTCATGCTCTCGTTCCAGTTTGATCGGCTAGTAATCTTAATGAACGTAACTTGACTTATTTGTTCAACCTCTCTTAGTATCATTACATTCAATCGAGCTCATCCAATCAATATAAAAACCCGATGATATTTGTCAAGAGTCAAGTTTGTTAAATAAACAAAACTACTAATATGCAAGGACCACGAAAAATATATTGACGATAATGAATCCTGTACTAGTAAATCATCTTTCTTTCATTTAAACACTTTTTAGTTATTATCAGACTACAACAGTCTAGCTTCGAAGTACACTTACGATAAAACAGTGAATGACATAAACGTTTGTGTTCATATATGACAAGTTTGATTCCGGACGACTTAATAGACATTTGAAAAGACTCCAGTAGGTAGACTTAAAACTGACGGAACACTTCCTTGTTTGGACTAGTCAGCTGGAATTACTCGCGTCCTGGATTCCAGTATCACTCACGAACCACCTCTGCTTACAATGCTTTCGACTTAAATCAACATTGATGCAATGTGCACAGGATGCACGTACGTCCTTAAGAGACTGATCAGTTACAGTCAGAAATATCAATAAGTAGATTCAAAGAAATAATGCAAAGTGAATTAAAACTTCACTTCGTTGCATAGACTAGTGGCTACCCAGACTCTGCATGTAAGTGGATGGTGTGACGGCGTTTGAAACCAACAGCAGTGGGTTCGAGTCGTAGAGTAGACATCAGTTCTGAGGCTCAGGCACATTCATTTGACGAGTCATAAATAGGACGAGGCGCTTGTCATGGAATTCACTGTTACTCATCATCAGTTTTCGCTGATTTTAAAGTTACTTATCAACCAAATCCTCACACCTGATCATCGGTGTTTCACTTTCGAATTTCGATTTCCATATCGAATGCAAAGATGAAGAGTGGTATAACTGATGTATAGTAAAGGTAGATGACAGATGTTGTGAGTGTTATTTGACAATCTTCCAAGTTGAAAAGAAATGTAATCATAACTAAACTTTAGTCATATTTGTCCCAAAATAATTCTTCAGAAGACAAGATGATCATCAGAACATTATGTTCATTCGGCCTACATCCTATAGGTTAATGATACTGCATGTAAACGAGATCCATCGTGAAAACTTCTCAATCACCGTCAGGTTTTCTATCTTCTATTTGAGATGCGCTTAGTCAGTTCACTTAATTAGGCTGGACGACATATTTCTCGTAGTTGCATGTTCATTTAACTATCTCTATGTATCAACGAGTGTATGAAATAAAAGTTTGGGTTATTCATTCTCGCATTTCGCTTACACAACTGCGTTATTCTCCAACGCAAATCCAGTCAATAATTATATACTATGGTTGAGGGCAAGTTTATTTCGATAACAATTATTTAATAATCTAACTGAAGTCACATTCAGAGTGTGGGTAGATGGTTGTCATCGAAAACTAATCGCACAGAAATATTTCTCTGTTCAACTTGTATTTCTAAAGCATTGTCGGATTATTATCACCTCTGTCTCCTCTACTATTCCCCTATCATCTCTCGTAGATCCATTCAATGTCCTACTGCTTGTACTTGATAGATGGGAAACACTGTTGCTCACGCGGTGCAAAGTTTGAACTAGGGAAACCAGCTCAATCAAAATTAAATGATTGGCAAAAAATACATCGTCTATTCAGGTTATCAGAACAGGTCATTCAGAATCAGATTATAAACATATCTAATACACACACTTATATACTAAAGTTAGACACATGTAAAGAACAGATAAGGAATTCTATGTGAGCGAAAGAATGCACAGTATAACTGTATATTTTACACGATGTTCACACTGAATATTCATATTGATTGAAAGACAATTGTTTTGAGTTACATATGTCCTTCAACAGTAGGGATGCTTTCTCACATTGCCATACTCGATGTTCACACAGGATAATGCAAATAATACGAACTTCACACTGGACGAATGCTTATACCTGTCATTTAGAATGAAATTCTCACTTGGTTTCTACAGCCGCATTATTCATAAATATTGTTACACTGGGAACTAATACGTCACTACTGTACTGAGTAGAATATCTAACCGAGAATAAATCCATTTTCAAAGTATCACATTAGGAATACATTTAATGCAGTTATATGTTGTTGTGCATAATACTGTAGAAAAGTGAACGCGTCTTCTTATTCAAACTTGTCGGTATCAAACTATGACTGAATAATTACTTGCTACGTTTCTTTACGTGCCATGTTTCCGTAAGTTAATAGAGTATGACGATTATCAATAATTTCGTTAAGAAGCTTATTTTCTGTACAAGAGCGTGAGTCAATTGAAGCTAGACCACCATGGAAAACCTGAAAACACTGAACAGCCGTTTCGTCTTATTATGGGACTCCTCAGCAGTGCGCATCCACGAACACGCTCTTGCGAGGTTTGAACCCAGGACCTACTAGTCTCGAGCTGAAGCCCTAAACCGGTAGATCACTGAGCTGGCATCCAGTTGTGTTAATGTATATTACAGAATTCACATTGTAATATATCTCTGAAGATGGGAACTGCGAACTGTTCCGTAATTTCAAGCATGAATGACATTGTGCACAAAGACGAATTTAACGAACTCTATCATCACCCATCCCTCGGAACAGTGAAATGGCAAATGGAGGACAGAGGCGGTTGTACACGTTCCATAAACTCATCAAAATATTATTCATATTACTGACAGAAACAAAAAACATTAATTGTTTAGTTGGCGTCTTAACTAAACAAATTAGGTAGGCTATTCTCTGATGTTTAATGAGTGGATTTTGTTGAGATTGGATACACACTAGTGCCTATAAAATTATATGAGAATAAGGAATGAGGATGACTCGTCGATTATCTGCACTCCCATTCTGTAAGTATAACATCTCAGACTAGTTTACAGTGCATTGATATTAGAATGATCAACTGTGTTAGTGTGCTTCATGACTTACTGTAAATGATCACTGAATTCTAA